CCGCTTTTCGCGCGGGAACGGGGGGGGGGGGGAGGAACTGAATTAAGACATGGAGTAAGGGTCGAGAATGGTACAACGAAACGTCTTCTTTCTTTAATAATTGAATGAAACGTCAGAGTTTCTGTGCTATGCGCGGAGGAATTGGAACTTGATTCAAACAAAATTAAGAGTCGAAAACGGTACAACGAAACATCTTCTTTCTCTAATAATTTAACGAAACGCCAAAGCTTCCGCGCTTTGCACGGGAAGGGGGGGGGGGGAGAAACTGAATTCAGTCAAGGGTAAAGAGTCGAGAATGGTACAACGAAACGTCTTCTCTCTTTAATAATTTAATGAAACGCCAAAGGAAACTGAATTTAGACAAGGATTAAGAGTCGGGAACGGTACAACGAATCGCCTTCTTTCTCTATTAGTGAAACGTCAAAGCTTTCGCGTTTCGCGCGGGAAGGGGTGGGGGGGGGGGGAGGAACTGAATTCAAACATTGAGTAAGAGTCGAGAATGGTACAACTAAACGTCTTCTTTCTTTAATAATTTAATGAAACGTCAAAGCTTCCGCTTTTCGCGCGGGAACGGGGGGGGGGGGAGGAACTGAATTAAGACATGGAGTAAGGGTCGAGAATGGTACAACGAAACGTCTTCTTTCTTTAATAATTGAATGAAACGTCAGAGTTTCTGTGCTATGGGCGGAGGAATTGGAACTTGATTCAAACAAAATTAAGAGTCGAAAACGGTACAACGAAACATCTTCTTTCTCTAATAATTTAACGAAACGCCAAAGCTTCCGCGCTTTGCACGGGAAGGGGGGGGGGGAGAAACTGAATTCAGTCAAGGGTAAAGAGTCGAGAATGGTACAACGAAACGTCTTCTCTCTTTAATAATTTAATGAAACGCCAAAGGAAACTGAATTTAGACAAGGATTAAGAGTCGGGAACGGTACAACGAATCGCCTTCTTTCTCTATTAGTGAAACGTCAAAGCTTTCGCGTTTCGCGCGGGAAGGGGTGGGGGGGGGGAGGAACTGAATTCAAACATTGAGTAAGAGTCGAGAATGGTACAACTAAACGTCTTCTTTCTTTAATAATTTAATGAAACTTCAGAGTTTCCGCGCTATATGCGCGGAGGAATTGGAACTTGATTCAAACAAGGATTAAGATTTGAAAACGGTACAACGAATCGCCTTCTTTCTCTTATAATTTAATGAAATATCAAAGCTTCCGCGCTTCGCGCGGGAAGGGGGGGGGGGGGGGGGGAGGTGGGGGAACTGATTTCAGACAAGGATTGAGAGTCGAGAATGGTACAACGAATCGTCTTCTTTCTTTAATAATTTAATGAAACATCAAAAGAAACTGAATCTAGACAAGGATTAAGAGTCGAGAATGGTACAACGAATCGTCTTCTTTCTTTAACAATTTAATGAAACGTCCGAGCTTCCGCGCTACGCGGTAAGATACAGATCCGCTACTAGTATTTCATGTGAATGGGGGGTATAGAAATACAATTTTTTGACCCACCTTCAATTCAATCAATAGGCATAAAGTAGGATAACATAGTTTTTACTTAACTGTCGCATTCAATTTTAGCAATGTTTTCATGCATTAAAATTATTACGATCAATTGCGTTCGCAAGTGCACGCATATGTGCGCGATCAACTGTGATGTGAATATATTTCACTTTAAAAGTCCCCCCAAAAGACCCGCCGCAACTTAAATCATTTTTTGAAAAAGAGATAGCGTCTAATATATTTTTTCTCCGCCGATTAGATATCACTTTGAGGTTCCCCCGCAACTTAAATCGTCTTTTGAAAAATAGATAAATATTGCGTTTTATAAGATAGCAAGTCTACCGATTAATTTGGTTTAGCGAATTAAAAAAGGATCCACTTACAATTTAATCAATATGCCTAAAGAAAGATAACATAGATTTCACTAAACTGTCGCATTCAATTTTAGCAATGTTTTCCATGCATTAAAGTTAGTGATTGCGATCGATTGCGATCGCAAGTGCACGCATATGCGCGCGATCAACTGCCACGTGAATAGTTTTCACTTTAAAATTCCCCAAAAGACCCACCGCAACTTGAATCTTTTTTCCAAAAAAAAAAAGAGACAAAATATTGCGTCATAAAAGATAACAAGTCAGCCGATTCGATTTTGGTTTAGAGAGTTCGAAAAGGTTCCACCTTCAATTTAATAAAAAATAGAGTGATATTGTCTAACATATTTTTTCGTTACCGACTAGTTTTCACTTTCATATTCCCACCGCAACTTAAATCATCTTATGAAAAATAGAAAGGTATTGCGTCTGATAAGATAACAAGTCCACCAATTTAATTGTGGTTTAGAGAGTTCGAAAAGGATCCACCTTCAATTTAATCAACTAGCCTAAAGAAAGATAACCTAGTATTCACTTAAGTGCCGCATTCAATTTAGCAATTCCATGCATTAAAGTGATTGCTATCGCAAGTGCACGCATATGCGCGCGATCAACTGTCACGTGAATAGTTTTCACTTTAAAATTCCCCCAAAAGACCCGCCGCAACTTAAATCGTTTTTTGGAAAAAGAGACAAATATTGCGTCATAAAAGAAAATAAGTTCGCCGATTTCATTTTGGTTTAGATATTTTGAAAAGGATCCGCCTTCAATTTAATAAAAATAGAAAGATAACGTCTAATACATTTTTGTCCGCCGATTAGTTTCCCGCCGAAACTTAAATCGTCTTTTGAAAAATAGTATTGCGTCTGATAAGATAACAAGTCCACCTATTTAATTTTGGTTTAGCGAATTAAAAAAGGAACCGCCTTAAATTCAATCGAAATTGAAAGATAACGTCTAATATATTTTTTCACCGCCGATTAGTTATCACTTTGAGGTTCCCGCCGCAACTCAAATAGCTTTTTGAAAAAATAGATAAATATTGCGTCTCATTAGATAACAAGTCTACCGATTTAATTTTGGTTTAGCGAATTCAAAAGTCATCCGCCTTCAATTTAGTCAAAAAATGAACGTCTAATATATTTTTTCCCCGCCGATTAGATTTCACTTTGAGATTCCCGCCGCAACATTATGCGTAAGTAGCAACAATAACTGACAAAAATAAAAAAGCAAACTATCGCCAACAGAGGGCGACATTTCATACGGAAGGACTGCATTACATTTTAGCAATGTTTTCCACGCTCTAAGCTGATCGCGATCAATCGCGTTCGCGCGCAAATGCACGCGTATGCGCGCGATCCACTGTGACGTTGATCGCAGGCGGAACTGTATAAGCCAAAGCACAAAATGTGGAATGATTGTTGTGAAAGTGTTATTTATAGAATGGTGACTAAGTAATCATTAACATTTTCAAGCATGTAATTGACATCGGTATTTCTACTAGTTTGTGTATCGCTTCTGCACTCCTACTTTGATAAACAATTTCAGGCATCTGTCATACGTAAATTAACATCTTCATAAATTCCATTTCTAATCCTGTTGCAACTGATTTCAAAGTACCGGGCCCCATCTTGTAAAAGAGTCGCAATTGATTACAAATAATTTTGTAGTTTATATCGTTCCGCAACTCTTTACTAAAGAGATAGGAGATGCGATTTCATTCACCCGTCAAGAATAATTGTATTTTTATAGTCGGAGTGCAAACTGTTGTTAGGTAGGGCAAGCCAAAAGGTTTGTCTACCTAGCAACAAATACTCAATACAGTTTGCATTCTGACTATTGCAATACAATTATTCTTAACAGGTGAATGAAATAATTTGTAATGAGGCACTTCCCAGACACGTATGCATTATTAAAATTTGGTTACATTCCAAAAGTAGTCTTTTGCAAATAGGCCAGTTTCGTAATGTAACCAAATTTAATGCATAAGTCTTTGTGAAGTGCCTCAATACAAATTATTTCATTCACCTGATAAGAATAATAGTATTTCAATAGTTAGAATGCAGCTAAATATATTAAGTGTTGCTAGGTAGGTCAAGCCATGATGTTTGTCCAACCTGGCAACAACTAATGTATGCAGTTCAGATTCTGTCTATTGAAATACTATTATTCTTATCAGGTGAATGAAATAATTTGTATTGAGGCACTTCACAAAGACTTATGCATTAAATTTGGTTACATTACGAAAATGGCCTATTATTCGTAATCAATCAAAATTCTTTTAAAAGACGGGGGCCTGGGGAGTGTTTTACAAAGACTAAGATCGACTTTAAGTTGGACTTAACTAGGGCAGGCCATTCATGCCACTAGTTGCTCTCACCATTGGTCTCTCAATTATGATCTTTAGATAATATTTTTTCCTTCAATAAAATAAATTTAACAAAAATGTAATTTCTGTAGATTTGTGAATATGATTTTATACATCCCTTGAGAAACCAATGTCAGGAATGGTTATAGGAACTAGTGGCATTAACGGTCTGTCGTAGTTAAATCAAACTTAAAGTCGATCTTAGTCTTTGTGAAACACCCCTCTGGTATAGTTGGGAAGCAGGATGTGTAGTGGACTTCATCCCAGTTTCAATAATATCACTAGATCATTCACATCATCTCATTCACTCCTAACGCATCCAATTTCATCCTCAGTATATGACATTTCTTTGGAACAATCCCCCCCTTCAAATTCGCAATGCTAGTTCTTTACCGTAACTTCTTTAAATACATCTAAAACAATACTAAAAACACATCTCTTTAAGTCTTGTTCCTTAATAGCCCTCTGACCTTTTGCCTTTTATATTTTTGTAGATTAACATAGGATACTATTAATTTTTTGAACTATTTGTATTTTGGTTGTAAGTGATTTGTAATTATGTACATGTATTATTTCATTAAAATTTTTAATGTTAATTGATTTGATGTAATTTGTAATGCAAATTCTGTTTTTTAAAAACTTTACTTTGATCAACTATTTTCCTTCTAAACCGCTTAGAGGCATAATGCAATTTGCAGTATAGAAATATCTTATTCTTATTATAAAACACAAAACAAAGGACTCCAAAAGACACAAACCTGCATTTCCACAAGTCCATTGTCAATCTTCTTTACTCAAATTTTCACAAAAAAGAAAACTGTACACATTTCATAATTGTCTTTGAATTTTTTTGTTATCTTTTTTTCATTTAAACACATAACACATAATACATGTGTTCATATAACAAATGCTACTCAAATTCATATATCGATAGCGTCAACATTACACCATCGTCAAAGAAAAAAAGACACAAAACTTCCCCTCTTTGCATTTGGAGGAACACACAAAATACAGGTAAATTCTTTTACTCCCGAAGAATAAATTCTCCAAGTACACACCGTGATATTTGCAAAGAGCAACTCCTTGCAGCATATTGTCATACAACGAAATAGAGAAATATGTTTAATGTCGTCTAGGCCGTGATCCCAATTTGATTTCGCCTCCACAAATATGATCATCTGAACACAACCTGACTTTGAGGTGATTTTATTCACTTTATTGATGGATTAACTGAAAAAGATATTCAATCAATTGCTGCAAAATGTCCGTTTTGCTTGCTACCATCGTTTCCCTGCAAATTTATTTTTGACCTGATCGAATTCTGAGTTTAGGAAAACCACCAAATCATATCTGAAAGGAAAACTCTATGGTTTCCGAAGAGAGTGAGCAACAAAAATTTTACTACGGTTTATATTCTGTTTCCACATTGTGCACTGAGAACAAAACCTACAGATATCATTCCCAAGCTTTAAAAAAAAAAAATTAAATTAAAAATACTACCTCACATGATATCTATGTTGGTCACTTGTAATATCATTTACTTTCTGTTACAAACAACTACAAATTGTCATCCAAAAAACTACAGAACTAAAACAACGAAACAAAACATCTACAAAGTGACTATATCCATATCACTGAATGTTTTCTCACAATGAAAAAATAACACTACCATTCTAGAAAATATACAAACCAATATTGAATATGACTGATACTATTAGATACTGCCAGCGAAGGGAAAATGTCACAAAGCGTTCCTTAAAAGTGATATCTTACCCTAATATAATATTGTAATCAGCCCATGTTACATGCTATATCAATATGGAGATAAAATATAACCTAATATGGAGGAATGATGATAATGATGTACTGCTTGGTTAGCAATTTTATCAAATATTGTAAATTTCATCAAACTGTAGAGATTGTCATGTTCATTTTCCCTACAAAAGATCTTTGCAAAATGAGAAGGGGAAATAGAAGCCAATTTGTAATTTAACGTCTACTGACAATATATTCCATACAAACAATGCCTGTTGCAGACAAAAGGGACAGAATTCTTTTTATTCTTTTTTTTTGACATGGAATTGGGACATTTAATGCAAATGTTTTCTGCCAAGTTAACCATTCATGTACATGATACCATTGAGTACCTGGCATAAGGACTTTAACAGAGGGAGTCTGATTTTGAGTAGTGTGGTAAAATTCCACTCCAAACGTCTTTTTGCAATTTGGTATGGACATGGAACTAAACATGATTGGTCTGATGAAATGCGGTCCATACAAGTTTTTTCTAACAAATTTCAAGGAATATATGGAATTATAAATTAATTTTTAACAAAATTGATCACAAAGACTTTTAACAAAACTCTTGGCCAATAAAAATACACTCAATGTGTCATATGGATATTATGTTCAAATTACATCAAAGATAAGTTCTTGCTTGTGCAAATTTTTCAAAAGGCAATGTGCTCTCAAAATTAACTTTTAAAAATCACGACGGACATATTTCACAGACTCAAAACTGCTGTTTATTTTCTTTTAAGTATTGGTGATCATGTTCAACACAGGTTATGCTTTTATTTTGCAAATGCAATGTGACACATTTCAAGTTGGGAAACTGATTCCATTATACACCTGATGTCAAATGAAATTAAAACATAAGTTGTCGACTAGAATGGAAAAAGGATATTTAATTCAGGTGGAAAAGAAACCACACTCTATCAGTCTGATAATTAACAGAATGAGTGGGTTAACCTTTTTTTCTTCACCCTTACAGCCAAATTTGAGGGTTTCTAATGAGAACTAGAGGTATAAAAGTTCTCTTTTGTGATATTTGAACCAGTTACAAGGGTAGTGCTAGCACAAATTACATACAAAGAATCTCATGCCAGAGTATACAACTGATAAATGTTACAAAACACCAGCTACTTAACAAATCAAAACTCTGCAGTGATAGAATTGATGAATATTTAAGATTGCTACATTGAATATTATTATCATCTTTGGCATATGTTCTCAACCTATTATCATCTAAGCATGAGATGATTAGGGCTCCTGTCCATTGGAAATACATATCAAACAGATATACATCCCCAAATAGATTAAAACAGTTAATTATGAAAATTATTTAAATTAATTAATTTCTTTTTGTAAATTCAGTTGTGAATGAATCTATCGGAATTCATACTCGGACAGCATTTCCTCTTGCAACATACAAATATCTACTCTGGTACACTTAATATTTCATTGACACACAAATTTGCAATTATTTGACTGGGATTTTAGATCACATGTCAATCACTATCTGAGAGAGTTTCATACTGTTCCGATAAGATGGGTTTGGGTTCCCTCTCTCTAGACATGGATGGGACTGGCATGGAGGGGGCAGGAGGAACAGGGGAGACTCTGTGACCGCTGCTGGGGTGTGGCGACGGCACCCTGAGCTGGGGACTGGTCAGTCTATGTGGGTGCGGGTTCATCCCGGACATGAGGGATAGGGCAGAGTAGGCGTAAGGGTTGTTACCCGCCGGAGGAGGGGCTCCAGAGTGGGCTCCAGAGTGATAGTTCTGCTGTGCTTGAGCGGAGGACGTCGACGAAGCAGACGACGAGGAGGAGGAAGAGGCCATGATGGACTGGACGGGTTGCTGAGAGTTCATGTGCAGGTTGGATGATGCGTTCGAGAGGCTTTTCTCGTTGCCGCCGCCACCACTGCCTTGAGGCAAACCGGAGTTGGTCGAGCTCAGTTCAGAGTCTGCCAATGCCTTGGCAGGACTCTTTTGTCTTTGGTTTGCCCTCATAGACCCTGGTAGCAGTCTCGGCTCTGCTTCATGGCTGCTCTCCACCTCGTAGGGACCTCGCGATTCATCCACATTTCGCGCCGACGACTCAGCGGTGCTGGTGCTCTCGCGGCTTGGATTCCGTGGAGGCGAGGAGCGTTGAATATCTCTATCTCTGTCCATCAAGTGAGTGAGGTAGTCATCCATGCTCACCTGATTGTCGTCCATCCTCACCTGAGAGTCTATTAGATGGTTGATGCTGGTTTGGAGATTGATGGTGTAAGTTCCGGGGTACCTGGAGCCGGTGCTTGCACCAGGGGAGCGGTTCCTAGCCTCTTTATGAGGAGGGAACCTGGAATGGGCAATGCTATCTACACTCTGCGAGGGCTGTTCTAATGATAAACTGCTACTCAACGATCCTAGACTGTTGTGCATGCTATGCTGTGCTTCCCTAGAGGCTGAAGAACCTATCTTGTCCTGACTGCTGGAGCCGGGCATACTCCTAGAGTCTGGCTGTGTTGAGGCATACATGGCTTTCCTATCTAGAGATGTGTCTGGTAATATATCTGGTCCAACACCAGAGCTAGGTCTAGGGTCACTGCTTGTTTCAGGAGATTGCCTCCTTTGTCCATGTGGGTGGGCTCTGGGATTACCAGAATCTGAGCTCTGTGGTGATGAAGTCGGTACCTGCGAGCTGTGAACACGTTCTCTCATCTGTGAAACAGCTAGAGCAGCCACGCTGCTGTCTGGACCATTAGCTTCATGCCTGTACTTAGACCACGAGGCTACGGGTGAAAGTCTATTGGAATTTTGGTTACTACCTCTATAGCTATCATGTCTAGCTTCCGAGACACCCGACTGTTGGATAGGTTCAGAGTTCATACGAGCCCGGGGTGAGTTTTGGTTGGAGCGATCCGGTCTTTGATCATAAGGCAGACCTCTTACGCTTGCCTCTATGGCTTGAGCAACTGAAGAACCATCACCACCGCCTCTCCATTCATTACTCAACGCTCTGATATCATTCGATGGGCGAACAGAAGAGGCAGGGCTCTTACTCCGTGCATCATTGGTCGACCCCACTTCATTGTCCTCTGTGCTAGTACGTCCTCTAGGGTTCAAACGATTAGCTGTGCCACCATCAGGTGATTCGGTGGTGTCCACTACAACACCGTCTGCTCTACTAGGAGTTGGACCTGGACCACCACGCTTGTGTCCTGTACCAGCGCTGTAGCCTAGGGACACAATGGAATGGATGTGTTCAGCAAGAGTCACAGTCCTTTTCCCACCATTATCCACCATACCATTACCGCGGTTGGTCGGTGACTGGTCTGCTGGCTGTGAGGATTCTGCATTCTGTACTGCCCTTACAGGAGAGTCCGCTATGAGAGTGGGAGGTTCAGGAACCTTCCTCTGTTCCTCGTTCGTTGAAGACGATGGCACAGGTGAGCCTTCACCTCTCATGCTCATGCTCTCAGAGCCATGATTACTAGCCGACTTATCCGACATACTCCCACCACGAGGGGATGCCTCGTTGACAGCCTCCACATCCTCACCCGTTGGTTGATTGATCGATCTTGTGATGATGGCATCGATCAAGTTGGCCGCTGTAAAGGTGCTTCCCTGCCCCGGGTCCTCCCCTTCCTTCTTCGCTTTCGGCTGGGGCTTGAACAGGTACGCAAAGAGCTTAGACGCATCTCCAGATTCAGGCAGCTCCTTCAGCTGCTCCTGTTTGTCCAACTCTTGTTGGTAGCGCGGATCCATTGTGGCATCTTTGGGTAAAGCTTCGCGGTTAGCTGAAGATCTGGGTGTGGTCTTTCCATCATCGGGAGGTGGTCCTTGGAGATGTTGCCTACTTGCTGCAGGACTCTGGCTCTGACCCGGTCTAGGCCCTCCACCGCCTCCACCACCAGGACCAGGACTAGAGTTGGTGTAAGAAGGTCTCCTGCTGTCAGGGTTCAAGGATGATGATTTCTCCTGGTGCCTGGACTCTGTGCTGTGCCTCGATTCAGAGCTCAGTCTGGACTCTGTGCTGGGTACTTTCCTGACTTCTGCAAGAACAGAAAATTACACAAAGAAATTAATGTCAAACTAAATAACGAAGCCATTATCACAAGAGAGTGACAGGATGAAATTATGATTTACCGTATTACATACCTGCCAACATTTGAAAATAAGAGATCTGTACCCTTAGCGGGGGGTCAAAGGGCAGTGCTCCTGTGGGGGTACAGGCATACATGTACGTGTGTATTGAACAGGCGATACACAGCCTTACCATGGCCATGCATGCAGTGGCAGTGTACTACTGGCAATTTACGAATACAAATTGGCTGCTCAATTGTGCAGCCATTCAACGCACTTCTAAACAAAAAAATGATGCAGTTTTTTTTTATCAACCTTCAACAATGTTACCGAGTCACTTTAAAGCCTCCCAGGGGAAATGGCTTCTTGTCTATCTGTTGGTAGGCGAATCCAGAGGGCCACTATTGGGTAGAGCTTTAACACTTTTTATTTGTCTGATTTTTCTGAATATAAAACCACAGAAGTTCACCACTGTGTGTGAGAGGGGGGGGGGGGGAAGATTATATTTGTCAAATTCTTTGAGATCTTTGAAGATGCCTACCTTTGTGCGCAGACACAGGAACATCCTGTTCATCAATGATATAGGGTTCTCCTCTGTTACTGGATGATTGCAATCTGCTGATAGCTGCTGAGAAGACACACAAAACAGGGGGTCAATGAAGAGTAATGGCAGCCTATGCTCTCAATGACTCAATCAAAGTGCAGAGGAACCACAAAAAATGGAAAACCAAACTGGCATCCTAAGATTTCAAGTATTGGGATCAAAATTTGAAGATAACACAAGATCTTTCCTTATTAACTACACAGTTTGCCAGTACTTTGTCTTCTACACTCTATATGTTTTAAACGCACACAATTTATATAAAATGTTATCAAGATCAAAATAAGTACATGCTTTCAGCCGACAGGACTAGACACAGAGGTCACAGTGATTGCTCAACTTCAGAGTGACCAACATTTGAGAAACTGAGCACATTTCAATGAGATTGCAGGACCCTCTTATTTTTTACAGTTAGTTCTTAGAATAACCCCCCAAAAAAAAAATTTTTAAAATTTAAAAAATTTTAAAAATCTGACTGGAAAATGCACAGCACACACTACAATTGAACTAAAACCTCAGTCCTGCGTCTCACGAAACCATCATAGGTACAAGTTAAGTGACATCCCATTGAAATGTGTGTTAAACTAAATAAACGCATTTCAATAGGATGTCGCTCAATTTGTACTTATGACGATTTCGAGAGACGCAGCCCAGGTGACTAATGGCGCAGTCCATTGTCTTCAGACAGATAGATACCATCATCAAATTTGGTACAGATCCTAGCAACTGGGCTAAAATTGGAGAAAATTACTCACCCTGAGATGTCTCTGGTCTGTGCCTTTCTGATCTCTGTTCCCTCAGCTCAGGGTTGGGTATACCTGACATGATGCTAGGGGCTGGACGGACAGGGGTACCTCTCATGATGCTACCCCCTACTGGTGCCCCCTGGATGGGCGGGTGTGGCCCACTGGCCCCGGGGCTACTCCCTCTCCCGGACGAGGGTCTGTACTTCTGGCTGCCCCCTTGATGGTCACCCCTGATGGAGGGCCAGGGGCGGGTGGGGTCCCGCTGGGGGTGTTGAGGATGCTGCGGATGATGGGGGTTGGCGCCATGGCCTTGGGGGTAGTCGCTGGGGGAGGCCCGCTCGGGTTGGACCAAGGGCGAGGCCGATTTGGTATGCCTGTGGCGGGACTCTGAGTCTGGCGTCAGGGGTGAAGGGTGCGGGCTCTTTGGGGAATGGTGTTGGGTGGTGGCTGGGTTGTGACTGCTAGATGCAGGTGGATACACCCCTGGGTGACCCTGTAAGAAGGCGTTGGGTGGGAGAGGAGTGCCTGGAGGTATGCATATCGGAGTGCCCTGAGGGGTCACATATACAAAGCCCTAGAATGACAAAATCAGAAAATAAAGAATAGTTAGAAAGACAATGTAAACCCAAATAAATGAAAGAATAATAAAAGCTACATTCGTAATGCTCACATATCCATCCCAGTGGAGGATCAAAGAAAAGGTTGAGTTCTGGAAAGAGGTGAAAAATACTTTGTGAGCGTTATCATTGTTATTGCCTTAGGTAATTCATTGACATGCAAGTTTTGCTGCTGCATATTTCTAAAGCAGTTCATTAAGTTGTATCTGACCGAGGCCAAGGTCATGTTTTTTCTGTGTAGATTGGTCCCTTACCTGCGGAGGGAAACCCGGTCCATACTGCATCATCGTCGCCGCCAGCGCCGGTGGCAACAGCTCAAGGTGACCTGCAGCCGGATGGTGACTCAACGCCGGCGAGAACCTCTTGCCCCCCTCCTGCTGGTGCGGCGACATCCTCGTATCCTTGCTGTTCGGGGTCGGAGGGAAAGGCGGCCGCGACGCCATCTGCTTGGCCGTGGCGAAATCCCCCGCGATCGTCTCCTTGGAGCTGCTGTAGGCGCCCGACTCGTACTGGCCGCGGATCATGCTGGCGGTGTTCTCGCCGTAGTGGGCGATGTTGCGCGCCATGAGGAGGTTGGGGTCGATGGTTGTGGGCATGCGCTCGTAGTGCTGCTGCATACCTGGAATGGAGAGAAGTTTGAGCCACTCTGTTGTATTGCACGGAAAGATGCAGATACGAGCAAGTCAAAATGGTCAAATGGAGGAGGGGAGAGGGGGGAAACAAGCAAATACAAAGAAAATAAATCAGTCAACATGGAAAAGGGTGCGAGTTGCGGATGAATGATATCAAACAGTGTCCAAAGCAACAATAAAAAGTGAAATATCAAAAGCAAAAGCATACTTTGTTGCAAAAAACTAACACAGCCCTGGCAGTGAATGAAATTCAATCAAACATCAACATACCCTAAGCAGAGCATAACATTTTAACTAAAGCTTTAAATACAAATACATTCATGAACTTTTGTGAGCTAGGCGACCGGGTTTGTGCCTTTATTAAAACATAAAACCTAGGTTGCTTTTGTGTACGTGACATGGGAGTCATAGCAATACACAATGAAGAAAACACTGACATGACGGTACATGAACACTGTAAATAACTTATTAACAGGTGGAAAAGGAACATAAAGTCATGAACCGTCTACTATTAAAATATCAAACAAAGTGAAACACAGAAAATATGAAATAAATCACAGCATCACTTATGAAATCAGTTTTTAGGGTATAATATAATTGTTTAACTCTTAAGCTGCCCCATACAATTCACCCAGTGCCACAGTGCTAATCCCTATTGTGCCAGCCACTTATCTCCTGTGTGCCAAGTTAATTTGGGTAGGTTTGATTAGCGTGTGTACTTATGCACGGAAATGTGTCCGTGGCACGCGAGTGAATGAGAGTTTATGTGTGCATGGCAAGCCACCAGAAACCCGATTATGTGAGCGTTGCACGCCAGCGCATGCACAGAACAGTGTTCTTGGCACGATATGAGTTAAAGGAGATAAATTCTATTTTCTGCTAGTAATTGCTAATAATATTTAACAATAACAAAGTCTTAGTGAACTGTCAATATTTTATGATGTGATGTCAACAAATAAACAGCACCAAAAAGTTCCAAAATCTGTTTTCCATGAAAATAGGAACAATTCCTATTGAATGATTGTAACACCTTAGTAATAAATATGTGGTGTTTGGGATTTTGAAAGGCTGTATACAGATGAGAATGAATGGATTTACATGCAATAAGTAGGCTTTGTCGTTTAAACATGCAAGTGCTCTCTAAAGGACCTCTTGCACCTAAAATAAATGCATGCTAGGGATGTAGTGCATATCTCGAAAGGTATTTTTCTCCCCTAATGTTTAACAATCAGACATGCACAATACAATCAACATGTACAGTGATGGACATAGAGATTAAAAGACATGAAGAGAGAGGGAGGGAGGGAGGGAGGGAGAGAGGGAGAGAGGGAGAGAGGGAGAGAGGGAGAGAGGGAGAGAGGGAGAGAGGGAGAGACAGAGACAGAAAGAGAGAGAGAGAGAGAGAGAGGTAGAGAGAAAGAGAGAGAGAGAGAGAGAGAGAAAGAGAGAGAGAGAGAGAGAGAGAGAGTGAGAGAGAGGTAGAGAGAAAGAGAGAGAGAGAGAGAAAAGGGGGGGGGGCATACAGCAAAAGACATTGGAGTTGATGAGATAGGACGAGTGTTATCAGATACCAAGTCAATAAAAAGATGCAAAGTGATGAACAAGGGGAAATTTGGTTCAACAGAGACACATAAGAGACCTCTGGTGGTCAGAGATAGGAAGGAACAAAATAGCGATGGAAAGAGAGAATGAAAGACGGAGAGACAGAAAGACTGACTCACCTCTCGTTGCGGCAGCCTGCTGCTGTTGGTCGTAGATATGAGCGCCCCTCGCCTCGTATGCCCTGGCCACAGCCTCCTGGTGATTCCTATGCTGCTGCTGCTGCTGCTGCTGTTGCTGCTGTTGCTGCTGCTGTTGGTGGTGGTACCTCAGGATTTCTTGGTCGTAGGACTCCCGCTTGGTTCTGACATTTTCTTGGGACACGGGGGTACCTGGAGGATGTGTGGGTAGTTAAGAAAAGAAAGTTGCCGACATCAGTGAAGAGCTCGAGGGAGAGTGGATATGTCACTGGGCTGTGGATCATAAGGTCCGCGGTTCAAGTCCCGCCGCGGCACTAATGTGCTTTGGCAAGACATTGATCTACATTTGCCACTCTCCACCCGGGTGTTACATGGGTACCAGGTAGGATGCAAAAGCTGATGTGGTTAGATTAGGAAGTGTGCGCTTGTAAAAATGACGCCTGGCTGAAATGCTCCTCAGGGAGTGGAGAATGCGAATACATTGTGTGCGGGTAAGCCTGAATCCGATGATCTGGGTAATAATATGATTGCAGGGCCCTCAGGGAGAACAGTATGAATACTGATGAGGCTACCCTAGGTAAACAAGACATATTATTCTTATTATTATCATTATGACACAGCATACCTTTGATAATCGAAACCTCCCTCTCGTGCTGGCTGGCGCCGATGGGCGTGCCCCTGGAGATGGATCCTGCTGGGTGGGAGGGGTGATGGTCCCCCGCCCCTCTCCTCATGACAGGGGTGCCCTGCGTGATGGAGCCAGCCCCGCTCCCCGACGTCTCCTGGTGTCTAGGGGAGGTGGCCTGGGAGGGGTAGCCCTTCATCATCCCTGCATAGCTGGAGACTGATGGCTTCTGTTCATACCTGTATTATAACAAGGGGAATGGAATTTGTTGGATTGGAAATAACTTTTAATACTTCACACTTTTTCGCAATTATATGTATATGATAACAAGTTAAATTCGCTATCTCAGAGTGCAAAAATGACAGCAAAAGGCTATAGGAATCTCAGTTTGCAAAGTACTCCCAGATTGAAGAGTGTTCAGATTTACTGTAATTTGCAAAAATCTAATAAATTTCATTCATTTGTTACTGGAAAATTTATTTTCATGCAAAAACATGAACAATTTATTTAATATGAGAATGTCTATACCTCTGCATAATACTTTTCTGTCTTATCTTCAAACAAAACAATATTAATATACATTTTTCAAGAAGTCATTAAAGCAAATTACAAGCAAAGAAATGGGAAGATGAGAATATAACTGTTTACTGATCAAAGGGGAAACAAGGCACTCCCATGAAATGAATATCCAATTATCATAATTTTTATCAGTTTCTACTCACTTGGATGGTGAGGAGACGGCGAAGTTGACTGGAGTGCCGTGAGTGATGGATCCTGCTCCTGCACCTTGGACGTGACTCAGAACCGATGCCTTCTCCGCCTTGAGGGGCTTCCCCGCAGGGTTGTTGATGAGTGGCGGTGGTGGGCCAGGTGGGGGAATCCCCTGCTTGCCAGGGCGATGCTGCTGCATGGGGTTCCTGCTGCTGGCCTGGGAGGTGCTGGGGTGGGGCTGGGAATGTTTGTCGGTCGCCGGGACGAGGGCATAGGGAGAGTTGGAACGGGGAGGGTACGGCTGCCGAGGCGATGTCCCTATCGAACCCCCCGGCGACTGGATGTGGTGCCTGTCCCTCTCCGACTGCCGGTGCAGCTCCTTGGCGTAAGCTTCCCCCGTGCGGTAGGCAGCGTGCAGGTGAGGGTGAGGTGAGATAGGGTTTCCTAAACGAGCCATCATCTCGGAATGAGTGCTCCCTATCTCTCCTGGTTCCCTCTCCTGGGGCTGGTGCTGGGAGGTGTGGGATATGTGAGGGGATAGGTACGGGGAGGTGGTTCCTGGTTGCTGCTGTCCCTGCTGCCTTGAGCTGCTCTCGCTAGAGTCTGCGTGAGAGTTCTTACGTGATGGTGGCTCGTATTTGACCTCGATGACCGGGAGTTTAGCATCACCCGACCCGCCTTGGCTTGGTATAGCTGGACCTCCAGGGCTTTGATCATTACCTGATATATAAAGGGAAGGGAAAGAAATCACACTTATATTGCTCAGCATTAAAAGAGGAATGCGCTCTGGCATCAAGTTGAGTTAGTAAGGTTTGAATAAAACATATGACAAAGAATACACAAGTTAAACATTTTGAAGTTATTTCCCTTTGTAATATGCACACAAAACAATCAAAATATCCCAAAATCTTTGAGTTTTGCTGAAGGAGTATATCTATATTAAAGACATTCCTATGAGAATACAATTCCCAAGAATTCTGGCGTCCATTTCATAATCATACATCAATCATAAAAATAATCATAATGCATGCCCACGTTTTTAAACAAAATTTATTACTCTATATGAAGGTTTTGCATTTAACTTTGATCAACAAAAAAAAAAAATATCACAACCTCTCTATCTGTCCTCTGTAACAAACGAAGACTAACCTAAATGTTTGTCAATAGCTGAATCAATCAGGTCCCTGATATTGTTGACACCTCTGTTATCTCTGCTTAGACATTCTGCAAAATCTATCAAAGTCCTGCTTTGCCCTCCATCCTCTTCCGCCTTCACCTTGTCGATCCCACCGCTGACATCACTTTTAGAAGAGGATGACGAATCCACCTGTCTGTTGTTGATCCTGATGCCTTCGGTGCTGAAGAACTTCTTATCGTCACTGGACGTGACTTTGTCTCCAGATCCAAGTTTTGGGGGCGTGCTCATTAAACCCTTACTACCGGGCAGCGCCCTGGACCCCAAGCCGGGATGGAACATGAGGTCATCCTGGGCGGTGCCCTCATCGGCGCTGCACGTCGCGCTGGAATCATCGTCTTCAATCACATGGGTCTCTGGCTCCTGCTTTAATCCCTGAGACGGTAGCACTGACACCTGTGATGATGAAGACGCTAGGGTGGATGATGATGCCGGCGGCAGAGGTCCTGAGGTTGCTCCTGCTGTCGATATCGAAGCCAAATCAATGGTTGATGATTCAGTGATGTCCATCGCGACCTCAGCCTTCACTGCATTGGCTGAGTCGGGTTCCGTTTTAATATCCGCTTTCTCCGTTTTGACTTTGTCCGCTAGCAACTGGCTCTTGTCGTTGCTTCCACCCTGAGACATGGACACACTAGTTGAAGCTACATGCGAGGAGGACAAAACAGTCGGCATTGCGGAACTTGTCGCTATGACTGGTTGTGAGGATAAAGTATTGGACATTGAACTTAAAAGAGATCGATTTTCATCTGCTTCCATCTTTTCCATTTTCACTTTGACTTTCCGTGAGTTACTCTCATCATTCTCGCTGGCACTAGCAGTGTCCGAGCTCTCATCATTGTCCGCATCATTCTCCTCATCACTGAAATTATGGAATTCGTCCTCCGATCCTGCCGTGACGGTCGAGGCCATACTTTCGGTAATTGACGGGCGATGCTCGCGTTCACCCTGACAAGTTAATCAGAGGGAAACAGGAAGTTATCATTTGCAAGAACAAGGGGTATAAAATAGATTTTAAATATCAGTGACAAGAGAAGAAATTATATATTCATGTTAATTTATTTTATTTACAATTGATAGTATAAAAAAAAAAGAGGATTATTAAAAACGATCAACACTACATGCTATCAACCCACAAATCTATTTCAGGTTTTACTTTTCTTGAATATTACAAAACAACCGAATGTGCATTACGCACATGTAAAACCTATGATTATGGGACTGCCGCACATGCTATCTCTGACCAAAGCAAAGCACTGAGATTGTGTGGGGAACCAATGGGGTGGAAGGGTCCTAGCATGGGACAGTATATAGCCATGATCTGGCGCTCTTTTCACATATATACACTAAAATTCACCAAATATCATGGATGGGATAACGAATGATCTCACGTAATATCTTTTGATTCCAGGAGAACAATACAAGACTGTATTTAACATGTTTGATTCCAATTTAATTCTTGCAAACATAAGTGTAAACAAGTTTTAAGCCTGTCTGCACTAGTTTGGCCAGGAGGGATTAGACATCCCTGCCAGGTCACTGACAGGTGGTTATCTCATCAAATCAGCACTCAATTAACATAAGAAAAAGGGGACCATAGGAGACCAACGGGTACCGCTTAGGCATTGTTTGCTATATAGAGGGCGCAAGTAGCTACAACTAGTACAAGTAGTGCAAACAGGCTTTAATATCAGTATCTGGGTGGGACCTACATCTTTCTTGTCGTGCCGGTGATGCTCCTCTATGATGTGTTCAAGGTGGAAGCGTCTCTTGTAGTTGAAGTAGAAGTTCTTACACTGGGCTTCCGACTTGGAACCCACCATCTTTGCAATGGCTGGCCAGTCACGCCCGTGCTGCCTCAATCCTGGTAATGAAAAATCAATGTTTAAACAATGAAAAGAGTAATAATAGTGGGTTCTTGTATAGCGCTCATGTCAGTCAGACTTGGCGCTCCCGATTATTACCCTGGCTTTAGCACGGCTGCCATTATGGCGCTCTAGCACTTCAACTCTTTACAACAACAACTCAATGGAAACAAAATCATGGCTCGTTCACATACAACGTGTCTTAAGTGGAATGAAAAGGCAAGCGGGGATGAAAGAAATAGCTGCAAGCAACAAAAATGGCCTCGTCTTATATAGAGCTGATATTAATCACCACTTACTGCATTTGATATCCATCGCAACTATGTACATAGGAGATCGGAGACTGCAAACTTCAGGGAATAATTTTCCTCAAATTTTTTGATTAGCAATTTCAGCCGATGGGTAAATATTTCAAATGAAATTCTGTACATTTCTATGGAAGAAAACTGCTACACAAAAGATATTTTGTATAGCAGTCATGCAAAAATGCATAGCAAATTGCGATGCGATACCAGGAAAATTATTCCCTGAACTTGCCATTGATTGGAGGACTTGCAATTGACTTGTCTTTGTGTACATGTTACTAAAGCCCACTGCACACTACACGATCGTCCTGCACTCAGATTTTCTCAGAAATGGCAATTGTATTGGATAGGAAATCTAGACAAACATCATCTTCCTGATTCTACAAGCTTATCATCTATAACAGATTAACATGAATTCAAATAATCTGCCACCCAAGAAAGATATAGTATCCATTAATTTGAAGAGATAAGCCATTTAGTCTATTGTCAATCTCCATCAGAGGCCTATGTATAACTTCAATCATTTCTCACCTGCTTTCGCTATGCTCATTTCTTCGTCCGTCCATCGAGAGGTTTCCGGACCAAGAGCTGAAAAAGAAATGACAGATATAAAGTGAACTGTCAGGACGATCCATCTATCTAATATGAATGAATGATATTTTTTTCTTTTGAATTTACTAAGTAACCCCTACCTAGGCTCTAATTTCATTGCCAATCATTGTAATCATTGTGTGTGTTGCTAAGCATCTGTTCATATTAGAAGGGTGTAAACGGATGCCCTTCCAACTGATTTCTAGGAATACCGTTTTAACTTTTCTCTGGCCATATTCATGCAGCGCATTAGTCTGGACATCACTAAAATCATTGACAGAACTCTAGAGCTAAAATGAAGACTGAAAAGTTGAGAAATCAAACTCAACTTTGTGTACGTGTCCTTTTCTGATCCAAGATGGCATTAACTCCTACACATTAGTACAGAGATAACATCTTTCTGGCTGTCATACCCTGGGGTGTTTCACAAAGGCTAAGATTGACTTTAAGTTGGACTTAACTATTGCAGGCCGTTAATGCCACTGTTTGATCTCACCAGTTACTGGCATTCATCTCTCAAGGGAGGTACAAATCATGGTCATAAATCTACAGAATTAACATGTTTTGATATGTCATTATTGAAGGAAAAAATATTATCTTTCACAAAGCCTTTTTTCAATGAAAAAATGACAAAAATCAGTGACAAATCTGCGGATAACCGATCAGAAGCAAGGATTTCAGTCGCTTATAACAAAAACTGTCATTTGTCACTGATGACAAGTTCTGTGAAACGCCCCCCAGGTGTCCTTTGCTTACTTGGATCAAGCTCTTCAGGAGGGGGTGGGGGCAGCAGGAGGGGCAGTTCAGGTTCCATGCCCTCTGACCCCAGCCTCCTAGCTATCCGGTTGAAGCAGGCAGCGCAGCATTTGGTGACCTCGACGGCTATACCCAGCTCCTCCGACAGCAGCCTACGTTGATCCTCGGTGATCTCGAACCACTTTGTGGGCAGGGGTTTTAACCGCCGCACCCTTTTTCTTGGGGTTTTACACGTTAGCACTGGACACCGACTGTAAGATGTAGACAAGATGTGAGAATGAGCAATTGGGGAATTTTTAAGAAAGGATTTTCTATATATAAAATGTAACGGGAAGCTGAAAATATGTCTGATAAAAAATGTACGATAGAAAAGATGCAGGTTTATAAAGATTCTCTCTTGGTTAAACACTGACATAGGGGTATCATAGTCTGGTTTCCAGGAACCATCACAAGATTATTAAACAATTTTTACATACTAATATCTTTGGCTTGATATCAATAACTGCTTGCCAAACAGAAAAAATATTTTCTTTTAAAACCTTGAATGCTTTTAACCCTTTATATAGCAGCTCGGATAGAGTCGAGCTACTACATTATAATGTTTTACAAGTTCTATAAGCTTTCCTTGGGATATATTGGTGTATTAAAATGCGGTCAAATTTGTTTGTTTTATGTTATTATGGGGGATAGAAGCAAGTGAAAACGAAACTGAAAGCAACTTCCAGCAAATGAACCGAGACAAAAATAAAAGCTCCAACATACCTTCTTCTTATGGAGCGAAACCTACAGTGGCTGCAGACCCTCATGTCGGGCTTGAGGTCCCCCTCGTTCATCCCAAACAGGTCGCAGTTGGTCCTGTTCACTGGTCGACTCAGACTGTACGAATCCAAAGGGTTCTGGCACAGGGAACAGTTGTTAGGGGAGGCTGTAGGGAGGGAAACAAGGCATAGATTTTAAAAGGTTGTATCAGCGAAAAAGATACACATTGGCAGACAGCAGTATGGTTACAAGACACATGCTCAGGCTGCAAATTACTCTGTGTCGATTTTCTTAACTAACCAAATTCTGAAATTCAACACTGGACATAACTCTAACCCTAACCAAAGAATGTAATCACCCAGTGATATAGATATAGAATATAACATATTATATAGAACTGTTGCATTGTTTTTTCATCATAATAAGCCCTAATCCAGCATAATATAAGATTATAGGCAAGTACGGGTCTAATTAAACATGTAAACTGACATGATAATTGTAAAGCTCTCAGCAATACCTAAAGTAGTCAGACTTTATATATTCCTAATCCCTATAGTCATTTCCTGGTTTGGATATGTTGTTATTAAAAAAACATATATATTTGTTAGATTCAAGCCATTGACTGCTACAAGACTTGTTATTTGCTTACATTCTGAGCCGGCTGCAGCACTCCCATTCTGAGAGCTTCCGCCATCTTTGTCTTCTCCTCCTTTGTCTCCAGAACGACTGGATTGAGAGAAGAATTAAAAAGAGGGGTTACGTTGTTGTTTGTTTGAAGAGAGAGAGAGGGGGAGGGGGAGGGAGGGAGGGAGGGAGGGAGGGAGGGAGGGAGGGAGGGAGGGAGGGAGGGAGGGAGGGAGGGAGAGGGAGGGAGGGGAGAGAGGGGGGGGGGGGGGAGGGAGATAAGGAGAATGAGGACCTGGGGGGGGGAGGGACAGAGATACTTTGGTTCATATGGAAACTAGACAGGGTACAACAAATCAACCTGCCTACCACACTTAGAACACAATGTACCAAAGAGCAAGAACTTGAACCTATACTTCTCATATTGGGATTTAGGAAGGACAAGCTGGGATGAATTTAACCTCTCTGTTGCACCCTGAAACATTTTGCATTCAGTTGTTGTTTTTGTTTTGCTTTTTGCTTCCCATTTTGTTATTTTTCTCCCTTTGTGAATGATACATGTAAGTGACATCTGCTTGTGTGATGTTCAAAAGCTATCTTTTGTTCTTGGGCAAGGAAATTTCTTTCTATTTTTTTTTTTGTTGTTGAGAGCTTGTCATCATCATCATTCTCATCCTCCTTCTCCTCTCCTCCTCGACATCGTCAACGTCATCATTGTCATCATCATCCTCTTCATCATCATCCTCTTCATAATCATTGTCATCATCATCATCATCATCATTCTCATGCTCCTTCTCCTCTCCTCATTGTCGTCATCATCATCATCAATTGTTATCATTTTCATTATCATCCACCTCTCCTCATAGTCAGCATCACCACCACCATCAATATCGTACTTGTTACTAGAGTCCTCATCCTTGTCGTTATCCTTGTCATCGTCGTCCTGGTTGCCCCTGATGTTGCCGCCAGAGTTCTTCCCCTGGGGAACCCCCTCCTGCGCTTGGCCTGGGACTTCCTCAGCTGCTGCTTGTAGTTCTCGTTCTTCTTGGTCTGGTAGTAGTAGAGCACGCAGTCCGAGACGGTCTTGCGCTCCAGGTAGGAGGCAATGAGGAGGAAGTTCTTGGGGTGCTGGAGATACTTCTCCCGGAAGAGCTCCTTCTCCTCGTCCGTCCACAGGTTCATGTGGATCCGGGTCTTGTGCTCCGTCATTGCATCTTCCACCAGGCCTGCAAGGAGAAGAAGTAGGAATAGAAATATTAACAAATATTTTTGTTTCTTCTTTAGATACAAGCCAATGATGATCTTTAGTGGATTATCTGAAATTAAATTTTTGTAGGTCTATAGAGTGGTAAAGTGTGACGTCATCAAAAATCTATTTTTGGAATTTCTCAATTTTTTTCTTCATTTTCAGAAAGAGCATCATACATAATGTCCAAATGTCGAAAACCAATTGAATATGTTCAGTATTGGCTGAGATATGACCATCTGAATAAATAGATTTCTTATAGGAACTCAGTGTTATATTGCTCTGGTTCATATCATTAAATTAAAATACATTTTTTCTTCTAAAAAACAGTAAAAAAAAAAAAATTAAAAAAAACGGACTGCAATATTTCAAGATTTTTGGGTCGGTCGCAAAGGGCAATACAACATCTTTTTTTTTTTTTAGCAGCAGATATTAGACGTTGACAGAACGCATAAGAAAGAGAGTTCCCTCACCATTCCTGTTGACAAACTTGACTCTCCTCTGCTCCATGTTATAGAGCATGGGAGGGATGACGGCCAGACTTCGTATGTGCTTCTCGTTTGCCTCCTGCTCGTTCAGGCCGTCGACGATCTCCGCCAGCTCCGCGTCGCTGCGAGCGATGTTACCCCAATTACTCCTCGTACCGGCCCTGTGGACAAATTGCAAGATACGTAAGTTTCGATCTGTAAACCCAAGCTCAGGCAACAATTTGAGGGTTTAGTAACACACAGACGTAACTCCATATTTTGCCAAAATGAGTATTTGATATCAAAATGTTCAGAAAAATGTGGGCTTTCCAGGAAACACAATGACTTAACTCCACCCAACACCCCATTGAAGTCAATGGCTAGTGAAACATAGTCTTAACTCCTTAAGGTCCAAGTGCTCAGTGACACATAAACCACTTTTTCTCAAAATGGCCAAAATGGAGTTACGTCCTTGTGTCACTGACCCCTCGAGTTACCCTTCGATCATTGTCACATCTAACCAATTTCCAAACTTTAATTCTGCAATGAGTAGTACATCTAAACTTAACTTCAAACAAAAAATTGCAACACAAGCCATGACCCTCATCTTCCATGAAATGAAGCCCTACACAAATGATTTATCACCAGATATGAACTTTACACCAGGGGCCTCATCTACTATTACAATGAAACCTGTATATAAAGATCGCTCAAGGGTAACATGAAAAGTGGTCCTTATAGGCAGGTGGTCTTTGTATCCAGGTTCCCTTAGTACAAGTTTCAATGAGAAACCATTTTCGAGGGAAACAAAAGATGTGGCCTTTATAGACAGGTGGTTACTAAAGCAGGTTTGACTGTACAATAACTGACCAGTACACAATCTTTGTCGAGTTGGGATGTGGTCTTTCATAAGCGCTATAGGCTTCTGATGCATAGGAGCTCAGTACAAGACAATACAATGACATTCATATTCTTTTTTTTAAAGTTCATATATCTACTATGACAAGTTATGGGGTGCAATAAATAACAAGTTACTAGAAAAAGAAGACACACTGCATGCCAATTACCCATAATGGTTTTGATCTAACCTTGAGAATCTTTCCTGTTGTTCTCTCTGTTTCCTGATCTCAGGGAACTGCTTCTCAAAGAACTCTCTCGCTTTTGCATCCTTGGCTCTGCAAGATAACAAGTTGAAAATCGATGGAGATCAGAATACGTTCATGCTCTCACAGGAAATGTATGGCGAATAAAAAATGAACTAGACGCAAAAATTGATTGATCAATAATACACACTAGAACAATATAGTCACATAGCTAATTTATCACTGCATATATGAAGTTGATGATAAATGAATTTACCTCCTTTTCGGATTGTTTTCTAGCCTTTCCATCTTCTTCTCCCAGGCCTCCATGAGCTGACCATAGCGTTGACACATGTATCCTTCCTGTTAATATCAATATGATCAACAAAGCCGTATCAAAACAAGTCCTTTTGAATATCAATTTAGGCATGAAAATACACACAAATTTACATGATCTGAGTTATCACAAAAGTACAATTCAACATAGGACATTGATAAGAGTTAGTCTCATGATTTATATAGTGTACATCCTTGGATAAAAGTATCCCCTCATGAAATCAATTTCTACCTTATGTCATGACCAAATATACATGAATTCATTTTGATACATAACAGAAATAATTATATGCTAACAAAAAAGAGGTTCACACCTGGTGCTCTATAGATTAGTGAAATGAATCGAGCAATGTTTAGTCAGTTTGTGTTTTCATAGACGAATGAATCTGCCTTAGATGTGATAGGTAATTTTTGTAATGTAATCAAATTTAAAGCATAAATATTTGTTCCGTGTCTGGTTACAAATTATTTTATTCACCTGTTACAATTTTTATATTTCAATAGTGAAAATGCAAATTGCATACATTAGTTGTTGCGAAGTAGGACAAATAATATGGCTGCCCTACCTAACAACACATAACGTATGCAAGTTGAATTCAGACTATTAAAATAAAAATATTTGTAACAGGTGAATTAAATGATTTGTAACGAGACACTGAACAATATCAATGCATTAAATTTGATTACATAACAAAAATGGCCTATTCATAATAAACAACTCACCCTCATTCTCCTGGCCTGATTTTGTTTCCTGAAGAACAGTATCAACCTATGCTTCATCTCCGTATTCCTGCAAAGAACAAACCATACAAAATAAACTACATTAATCATTCTTATTTTCCAACGGTATACGGGTGTTGATGCCCTAGAAGAGGCTGAGGTCAAACACTTGATTTCATTGCATTGCAGACATTCCCAGGGTGAGATTTACTTTTTTAAAGAATTACTCTTTAAATGCTTTCTCTAATTTTATATTTTTCTAATGTCACAAAACGGGGAAGGGGGGGGGGGGGGGGGGGGGGGGGGGGGGAGGGGGTAAATAGAAAATACTCAACATAGAAGGACATTAATATCATTAAGAAAACTGTTATACAAATTATGCGACAGGGATATATTGGTGATCTTAGAATTGTTTCTTTTCTTGGAGCAGAAACAAGAAAAACAAGCTGCAAACCATCAGTAAGGTACAGTCTTTCAAGATATGTGCATAACTTTTAGCTGAAGACTTACCAAATAATGTGATGGCTTTTTGAAGACTATTTCATTTTAAAAGGAACATTCGGATAGGGTGACATATTTATTGGTCGTTGTGTCTTTATAACAACACTGTCTCATTATGCAGGTATTACCATTTTAGCAAAGCATAGAAACAGCACAAGCAGTTTATTGTACTCCAAAGGCTACAGCCTCAGTGCAGTTTGGTATGCTTGCAGTCCAGAAAGATAACATTCCGTGCCTCATGCTCATAAATTTGTCTTTCTCTGCTAACTATGATGGAAAGGATGTTCACATAGACGAGTGAATTCAGCCTTAATCATAAATAATCATGTGTGGCCACAATGGAGTGTGAAAATAATCTCCATAAGTACCCATTCTAGGGCAAACTAAAAATGTGTTCACATTGCCCAGTAGATAGAGGCTAGTTCTCAAAGGCTGGTCAATACAGGCTTCATCATAAATTAGCATTGTATATAGCACAAAGTGTGATTACAGCCTTCTCCAATTATGAGCATTCTAGCACATAATGGAGCAGTGTTCACATGACCTTGTGATTTATACAGGCTTCTCCACTATTATGAGTGTTGTATATAACAGCAAAGAAGTGTGAATATGGCCTTCCCATAAGTAGCTCAGTAGATATAGACTAGTTCACACAGGCTAATGAATGTAGCTTTAACCGTAACTGAGTGTTGTACAACATAATCAGGCCGTGTTCACACAGCCTGATGAACTTACACAGGCTTCTCAATAAAATGAGCATGACAGGTCACTACAAAGAAGTGAAGGCTTCCCATTAGTGGCCCGACAGATAGAGACTAGTTCACACAAGCTAGTGAATGTAGGTCAGACTATAAATGAGTCTTGTGAAACATAATGAGGGAGTGTTAACACAGCCTGATGAATTTATACAGGCTTCTCCATAAATGAGGGTTGTACGTCACTACGAAAAAATTGGGTTGGGGCTTTAATAGTCTGGCGGATTTACAACCTTCTATTTGGATGATACAGAATACAGACAGACTCAGTGGAGTCGGTGCTAAAAGCTAATGAATAATGGAAGAGCTTCAGGGTACTACTCAGAACTCCGAGGGGCTATAAATGATGCTTAAGAAATCCTCTTCATTCCTATCTCTCTCTTTCTGTCTATCTCTATCTATTTCTCTCTTTCTGTCTCTGTCTCTGTAGCTCTCTGTGGTTTCTGTCTCTTTTAATCTCCTTTCATTGTATTTTCTTATTCATTTTCTCTCTCTCTTTACCTCTCTCTCTCTCTCTTTCCTTTTATCCCTTTCTCTCTTACGGTCTATTATCTTATGCAAAATTTCCCCTGGGATCATTTGAATTTTCTTCTCAATCTTATCATGGTGTCTTCCTAAAAGAATCCAATCTTCCTTTAACTCAATGTTGGTCTTTTCCCCAGTCATCTTGTATTTCTTTTCACTTGTTCTTTCTCTCTTTCTTTCTTTCTTACTTATCATCATCCTATCCCCACTCTCTTTCTCTCTTTCTTTGTTTCTCTTTCCTGAGATAATACTTACGTCTTGATGTTTTCTTGATATTGAACGCTATCCGATGGCTGGTTGTACATGGGCTGTGTAGCAAGAAAACAAAGATATCAATTTAAAAAATTTGGTAGCTTTTTTTGCCTCTCTGCAGGATCACTCATCTGCCACACGTGCGATTTTGTACAAATAATAGCAACCAAATGACGGAAGAAGGACTTGTGCAACACAATTACTTTGGCAAATTACCAATTTCTATGACAACACTTGTAACACAAAAATGGGTACATGGGACTACACATAAAATGTGGCATGAAAGTTTGGTCCAAACTCTTCAGCTATTTATCAATATATTTCACATAGGAGGGCTTTTGAAGAGTATTCATTTCAGAGGACATTTCTTCTATGATATTCTTCCAAACTGACATAAATGAGAATGAGAGACTTCACAATTTACTTTTAATCTTTACGAGATAACCCTTCTTTTTAATGAGAGGACTACTTACCAGCTCGTTCATGGGACCAAGGTTGTTGAGGACTTTATGCGCTGCTTCAGCCTTCCTCTGAAATATCAAATCAATATATACATACTGCATAAATCAAAGAATTCCATAGAAATTTAGTCATATACTAGTAATGAATGGATAGTGGTCAACACATTGAGAGAACTATAAAAAGCTTGTAACTCTATACTCGCTATGGAAAAAACGACACAAGCTTGCCAAAATGAGTATGTGACACACAAAGAAATTATTCTTTGAAATGCTAGAGCACCGTAATGGCAGCACATCTAAAGCCAGGTAATAATCTCCATGTTTGGAACGCTTGGTGATTGTAATAAGCGCTATATAAAAACTGAGTATTATTATTATTATTATTATATAAATTGCATGTGTGACAAAAGTTGACTGTGGCAGTCTAATGTTGGTCTTTCTGTCAACTAAAGCATGTAAAGGGTTTAACAGAGCTTTGAGCTGTTAGCTAGGCTTACTAGCCCTTCTCATAGCCCTTAATGCCTCTGAAAGGACACATGGTATCGTCCTAAAAACTTAATCAATGAAAAATGCTTGTGTTTTCAATGTAACTAACATAAATCAAAATAATTATTTTTTATTATAATACTTTAAAATCATTCCTTCAAACAATTGTTTGCTTTTAAGATAGACATAAATTCTTTAATTATTTGCAGTTGAAATGCAATCAATTAAAAAGGAGTGTTCCAAACAATTGTTTGCTATTGAGAAGATATAAATTCTTTCATTATTTGTGATCAAAATGCAATCACTTTAGGGGTTTTCCCTAAGGAGGGATTTAAAAAGGAGTGGTTCATGAATGCACCAGAAAGAAGTCATGATTATAAATGCATTTTTTCCAGACAGCATGCCATTTACATCAATTGTCTGTACAATGAATGAATGGTGAGTCTCTATGTGACCGATAAGTCTCTCTTCATTTACAAGAGTTGCGGTTTCAACGAGCCGTCGGGAGGCTTCCAACCATTTAAGAATGGACCCTCCATCAACCACAGGCTCTGGCTAATTAATCTCATCCACCACATTGATTTATAGAAAGCCATTTGCAAGTCATGTGAATCAGCTCCTCTGGCTATTCCAAAGACTGCTTAAAGGTACTACTCAAAATTTGTTGGCACGGTCACGAAAGTGGTTAATTGAGTAATTTGTCTTACAAGGTTAAAGGTAAAGATCAGTTCTGGTCATGCGATTGCATTGTGAAAGAAACATTGTGGAATTGATCAGAAAAGGTTGATCATCTAGCATAAATATTGGTATGTACTGGCAAGGTTCTGGAATCATCAAAATGATAAGAAATTTGGCCCAGTCTTGGTAAAGTTACAAGCACTGTACACAGAAAGATGTATATGGGACTACCCTATATCTATCCAGTCCGGATAGATATAATATTTACCAAATATATAAATTAGTAGGCGGTTTCCCGTCAAAATTGTATCATCACTTGTTAGTCAAAACATATTCTTTCACATGATCGGTAATAAGAGCTTCCATATAATTTTTTGAGAGGGGGTTGTTTCCAAACTGGTCTTTACCTTTAAAAGTACTACTCAAGATTTTGGCATGGTCCTGAAAGTGGTTGGTTTAATCATCTGTCTTACAATGTTAGAAGGAAGAACATCCTTGTCAGTTGTAGAAAATATGATCCAAAGTGAGGTTGAGAGAAAGAAATATAAATGAGTTGATTTTTCCTATTCCTACTGATTATGAATAACTCAATAACCATGAATAACAGTTTTGCAAGAATGATATGCCACAGAAATTCCTTGACATTGTCACCTTCCATATCGTCTGTTATGGAGCCAGGAGTGCGTTAACACATAATCTTTAAAACAGAGTTGATACCCTTGCT